GTCTTTTTTCTGTGTTTATCAATAAAATGTGGCGAGAACTGCAGAATTCTGATTAAGAATTAAGGAATTCTTAACTATATCAGTTGAAGTTGGCATGAAATGGAAGTTCATCCAATCTATTTTTATTTGCATCTTAAAGATCTTGTTGTAAACAATTCATCCATGCATCCGTTTCATTTTCTAAAACATTTTTTGACCTCAACATTTTTAACTGATTTTAATAATTTTCAAAATACCTCAATCTTCAGTGAAAGACAGACTTCTCGCTGGTGATGTATTCAGGACTTCTCCAATCATTCAGTCCACTTAAATCCCGCCCCTTTCTTACAATCGTCTGCAAGCTCGCATTCAGATCTGCTGCCATCCAATCAACAACCGATGGATAGAACCGAGTCACTGCCCTACATTATTTTTTTTCTGATAATCTTGGAATGTACATCACAATATGGAAGAAATTATCTGTCACTACTTCTATTGCAACTTTAAGTACTATGTGAATGCACAAGTCTAACACACCAAACACAACAGCTCCCATCCACTCACCTTTTTTTAATAAGGTCCAGGGCAGATCCCAGGAAACCATCCCTCATTTTATAGATTTTGGCTCCATAGCTGGAAAGGTCTGTTCCGTCCAGAAGGATTGCGGGGCAGCAGCTGGATGGGCCATTGCCACTCTCCCTGTGGGGTGGGAAGGGGAGAACAGCTACATCTGTGGCCCCAGGGCCTGCTGGGCCCTTTGTCTCCTCGTCTCTTCCTGTAGCAGCTTGAGGATGTAATGGAGAGCGAGCCACTGGGCTTGAGCAGATTGGTCCTCCTGGGACCTCTGCAGTGGAACTGGGCTCAGACACCTCCGCTCCGCTGTGGTTCGAATCCTGAGTGGTTTTGACGTCAATGTCAGTCCTTTCCGCACTCTGCGTTTCCTCTGTCTGTATTCTTTCCTCTCTATGCTTGTCGTTACTCTCCATTTCAGAGAACCTGTGGTTCGTAATGCCCTCCCTTTGTCTCATTCTCTTAAACTCCTCAAACGTAGGTATGTGCAGGCGGCCCATGGGGGGTCTTTTCCTCTCAGGGGTTGACTGGGCAGAGTTAGTGCAGATGGGCTCTGCGGTATGAGATTTACTTATGGTACTAGACTCATGTCTGGAGTTCAGTGCCAGGTTAGGGGTGCTTCGTTGTCTTCGGAGCTGCAGTCGTCGCAGCGCTTCCTGTTTGATCTCCTCAGGACTGGTGATGCGACGGGCGCTCAACTCTTGCTGTCCATTCCTTTGCAATGATGTCAGCCCAGTCCGAACCGTTACCTCCTGATCGCACGGATAAAGCGGAGAAGGTGCATTACCAAGCACAGGTTGAGGACGCAAGGGCTTGTGGGGCTCCGTCACACGTGTGCTCTGGAGCCGCAGCTTGTCTCGAAGACCCTTTCGAGCATTTCCGTTTATACCCCAGTCCTCAACCGCTGGTAAAAGCCATTGTGGAAAGAGTGGTATATCCTTCCTCACCAATCCTCGGCGGCCGTAGACTGCCATGCTGTCATGGGAAGGCATTAAGCCGTAAACTTGAGGTCCCTGAGGAGGTCCATCGTACCAGTGGCTGCTTGAAGTGCAGTGAAGAATAAACTCACTGTCCACGCTCCTGTAAGGATACGCATTGGGATCGGACACAGCGGCCCAGTGCAGGTTTTCCAGGCTGCGGTAAAGCCGGGTGCCACCGGTGTTCATGCAGCCCTGTGGAAAGCGCATCGTACCATAGCCAGACTGGCCGTCAGGCTGTTTAAGAGGATGCATACTGCTGGTGGAGCAGTAGGCCCCCAGGTTGCTGAGCAGGCCATTGTTGTTGTTGTAGTGGCCCGGTGCTACATCCTGGGCAGGGAAGGGGGACACGCCGTGGTGAGAGAAAGCAGACAGCGGGGAGCTGAGGACGGACAGGTCCATAGACAAGTCCATGCTGCAGCTTGCAGGAGAGCCTGCTGGGGAGTATTCACATTGTGGGGTTTTCACATCCGGCATGGCCACTGAAATAGCTGCCATATTCCAGAAAGGAGCATCGGGATCACAGCCCTGCAGAAATGCACAGACAATGGACATGATGTCAGCAGAACAACCTGATTATACACTGAAACTGCTCTGCATCTGAAAATCAGTAATTCACCAACACCTGGTGTTTAAAATTGGTTTTGAGTAAAAATGACTAAATCTTGTATAGACTTTTGGCAAATTCCGTCCACTGTTGCCTTTGCTTAAACTATTGCGAAAATGCTATACAAATGAATCAAACAAAACAAAAAAAATTTTCATCAGAGTAATAACATCAGAAAAAGATACATCAGTACTAAAAAGTAAATATTCTCCAGATAATATTTTGTCTTTTATTTTGATTTCTGTTGGCTTTAGTACAATCACATAAAAAAATGTAATTTAGCATTTTGATATGCAAGTTATTTAACTTTTTTCTCACACAGCATAAATGGGTCTTTCTTGTTTATTACTGACTGCTGTGGAAAATAATAAAAAAAATGGCATACTTTATAAATTTATAAATAACCAAATACGTAAGAAATATATTCCACTGATAATCCTTAGGTATACGTGAGCAATTTAGGATTTTAAAATACCTGATAAAATCTAAAATTACCTCAGGTTTCAAAATGTGCTACCGAGGATTACTGTAGATGATTCTGAAAATGCAAAATTACCTCCTTGAAATGTCGATTGTATGTAATATTTGCTAATGGCTTGTATGTAAGGGATTCTGTTGCTCACTTGTGTTTGCAGCAACCCTACAAATAGTGCCCTCTATCCCTATAAAATGCCCTGAAAGTGTGCAAAAATGAAATTCACCCAACATTTCTCATATTTAAAAATGGATTTCGTATACTGGACAAAGCTACCAATATTCCTCTTGCTGTAGAACTAATTGTATACTAATCTAAATCACATCAAATGATCCTTCCAGCAATAAAACTACAGCTAAGTAACATAAGGATGTTTAACAGTTCAATAACCACTACAGTAATTATAATGTTCATCATGCGTAGTTCCTATGACTTGTATAATTAAATTCATATTCTAAAAATGGCTCGTTCTTTTTTACAAATCAAATGGTGGGAGGGAGTTCTGTCTGGAATTAAAAACATTAAACCGAGAGAGAGGAAAATCAGAAGGGACAGTAATGAAGAGAGCCACAACATTCGCCCAGGGCTCTTATTCCACTAATCAGATGAGAACTGTGGATTATCAATGAGAGTGCTTCTCTTTCAGTAATTAGAACAAATTGCCTTGCTTTGGGCCATATTAATATCCACCCGTAATCTTAAACAGAAATCAGGGTCAAACCAGGAGTTACAAAAGAACATGTCACAATAATTCCAGGCAGCAGAGTCAGGACAAATCCATCTGAATATTCATCTTCTTCACAGTGCCTGTCAGAGAACAACAATGGCATTGCGATTAGATTGAAAAAGGTGGGAAACCAGCAATTTTAAGTGGGGGAAGCCCAGCATGTTCAGGTGTTCAATTAACGTTTGGCCCAATTTAATTAAAATGGAGCTATTGAAACTCCTCTGGTATTATCAGGCGAATTTCCATCTCTAATTTCATCTCCATTTAGGTGATAAGAAGATTAAAAAAAACCTTTTTGTTTTTCTGTGAACTGTACAGTGGAGCGCTCAGGAGGATCTATCTTCGTGGGTGAGTAGACTCACTGTCTCAATAGCACTGCCAGTGTTTTCTTTCGCTTGCGCTTGAAAACTGCTGACGTGTGAATAAACAGTCAATTAGCATAAGGAGCTTGTTTAATGAGCATGTGGCACAGGATCAACTCACGCTGGGCCCACTATGTCCTCTCTGTGTGTGACAGACAGGCAGATGCTCCATTTCCTATTTGAGCAGAATTCTTACGGACACAAGAAAGCGAGAGCAGACTGTCCCTCACTGAGACAATAGCAAGCCATACCAAGCCAAAATACTAGAGATTCAAAGACACTAAAACTTGAGGACTGGATTAGCCCGATTCCTGACAAACTAATCATCTTCCCTGATTGATTTTACATTACCCTTACGCAAAGAAAATATATTTCCTTATATATGAATGATCAATATATTAAATGATTTAACAGTATATTGAGAATATACAGAATAGTATATTGTGTTAATATATTACAAAACAGTATATTGAATAATAAATAAGGAATTGCCACTTTCATAAATTGAAAAATATGTGACAATATATTTAATTATATATTATAATATATGTAATTTTATATTCAGTAACACACTTCATAACATATAGATGTACATGTGATAAGATATGGTACTGCATGTGTATTAATATATTGTACATATATTTACTCATGCAGTATATACACACATATATAAACATGTATAATATATTTCTTATATTTTATAACTATTTACATTGTTCATATTTTAATTTATAGCTAGATAACAACAGCACAAGCCCACCTGCATGTATTAAAGTATTTAGCAAAGAGACTATCAGCATGCTGAAGAGTGCACAGCCATTACTTTTTTAAATAAAGTAATATATAGTCTTAATGTTGTTTGGCCAGTCGTCAACCTGACCACAGGCTCGACTCTTCAAAACAACGGTAACCCCAAAACTCAGACATGCCAGAAACCCTTTTAAATTCCAAAATAATAGAACATTAAACACTAACAGACCTCCTCCTATATTAATACTGAGCAAAAACACGAGATAACATTTAATTTTAAGATTTACTCTCCTTTAACAGTCAGAAGCAAAGCATGCTGGGAACTAGAAATCTGCTGTAACTCATTCTGTGAATGTGTGTATATATGTGTGTACATACATTCACAATTATACAGGGACATGTACTGTATGTGCAATATATGTACATAACAAAGGATAAAACCTTACGAATATTACATGTAATGCTATTTTTGTCTTCCTTTCTAAATATTTTTATATGTATCAAAATATAGCCATACATGGTCAATGCATATATTGCAGTATATTGAAAAACATATGCACTAGTTTCCCCATATATGGAAATGTATTATGCAATGTATCGTATTACATTTTGCAGTATATTCCCATATATATTTGTTTTGTAAGGGTATAATTTCTTTAACCAGGTTAAACTCATTGAGATGAAAATCTCTTTTATAAGAGTGGCCTGGCCAAGAAGTGATCTGGCCACTGAAACACAATGAATCTGAACGTACTTTATATATATATATATATATATACATATATACTTGTATCTGCAGGCCTCTGCTGAAAAAGTGTGTTAGAGAAACCCTTTAGGATTGCAATATGTTCGTCTTTTTGTTGTGTTAGTCATAAAAACTTACCCCATTTTAATCAACTCTGTCTGCACCTTTACTCGGCTTGCTTTAGGCTCTCATTCACAGGCTCTGAGCCAACAGAATCTCTTTTGGCTTGGATTAGAGGTAGACAAACCATCCACAACGCCAGACTGCTGAGATCTCAAGCACAGGCAGCTACAAAAGAAGAGGAAAAAACATCAATACAGGCATCCACAAATAATACGAATCAATTTCTGCAATGAACAAAGGATCCTGCAGTATTTCTAAGGATTTTGTGTTTCTGTTTTCTTTGAGAAAAGCATTTGCTATAACTGAGGAAATTTTGTGAAGAAGTCAAACACTCTGAATAAAACAGTCATCACCGGGGTTTCCCTTATACACAAAGAAAATGATTTCTTAGGTTTAAAGATATTATTAAGCTTAATAATTTTCTTGCTTTCTAAGAAAGGTCTATTTTTTGTAAACAAATCAAACATAATAATAATGCTAAGAATACATTTTGATAATATTCATAAATATTAACATACACAAAAAACTGAATTCCAAAATATTCCAAATCACATGTACTTTCACCTCCTGTGATTCAAGACTCTGAAATTCAAGGCGTGTTGTGGGCTTTACAATTTTATCTCTTCTGACCTCAATATCAGCCAGAGACCTTCTGGAATTAGTTCAATTTTTGTTAGTGGCACGTCAGTGAATGCAGTTTCAATGATTTCTCATTACTGAGGGAGACACAGCTCGACCTCCACCAGGATGGAGTCAGGCTTCAGTCAATAAACACATTCAGTTGCTCTTCTACTCCATCTTACTAATGGCAAGAACTCGGTGTTTGGTGAATATCTGTCAGTATGTGGTCCAGCTGCTCACTAACGTGTTTCAGAGTAACAAAACCCTGAGGATTACAGCAGGACATCAGTAAGCGAAATAAGAAGAGATGCCTTTCTACCGAGTTGTACTCGCAATATGCACACACAACCATTCCATGCGGACACTTTAGTCTGATTTATGACTAAATGACTCTTATGAGCAGTTCTTTTAATGAATCGTTCAAAACATCTCACAAAGGCTGAATTCAGAATAGCATACTGGCATACTACTGTTACTATTTTTAGAATACTAGTATGTTATTCCGTGACTAATTCTTCTCTGAATGAACTCACTGATAGATAGACAGTGCGGCTTACATTTCCTACACCTTCAAATGTGGAATTTTTATTCTTTTCCATCAAGCCACTGCTGTAGCAAGGTTGCACAGTGATCTATGAAAGCTGCTCCATATGGAATCAGACTAAAAGGCCACATATTGATTGTATCTGCAGGTTTGTGCGATAGCACAGCAGGGGTGTTTCTAGGTTTCAGGAGGTGGAAAGACATGGAGCGCAGATGGAGATTCACAGTATGATTATGCTGCAGAAGACTGACCTCATGATTGGTTGTTGAGATTGATCTATTTCGTCTAAGGTCACAAAGGCCACTGCAGCAGATATCAACCTATTTCTAACCACTGGATTTGTGCTTCCACAAAAAGGATTTTAAGCTGTGAAGAGCAATTTCAGTGAAAGAGGGGGTCATATAAGTACACTGGTGTTGAAAATGGTTGAAATCTGAATGTCTGTGAAGAATATAGGTTAGCTTTAGTTGAAATGGGGACAGTTTACAGAGTGAATGTGGGTAATATGTGCTAGGGTTAAAGTAGCCATTCTCAGATTAGTACCTGTTGGTGATTTTGCCTAATCCAACTGATCCTGCAGAAAGCCGATATGCTGGAAAGCTCAGGAAGGTCTACTAGCTATTGATCATTGGCTGCGTATCTCCCATATCTTGCAGTAAGAGGACTAAAGGCTATCTTTACAGTCACATTATCCGTATTAGGATTTATATTGGAAATCCTAAATCTGAATGAACATGCAATGTATGATTTGGAAGAGTAAATGTTATAATTTCTTTTTAACATCCAAAAAACAGGTCAAATTCATCAGGCAAATTTAACCCCATGAATGTATTTAATTTAAGTTACACAAAACAAAGAATACATTATAAAACATTAATAAATTATAAAACAAATGATACCACTTCATTCATTCATAAATTCATTTATAGATAATTAACTTATCCACTTGCACAAACACACACACACAGACACACACATTATACATAGATACATTTTTGAACACAGCATGTTTGAATACTATTTACATTTTAAATAATGTTTTAAAAATATATATATATATATTTTTTTTTTTTTTTTTTTTGAACCCAGGTTATGTATACAATTAAGTGCCTTACAGTTTTTCTGAATTGCTAAAACACATTTCTTGAAACCATCACTCATTTTCTCAAAACCTTAAACACAAATCCAAATACTCAAACTTCTGTCAAACCTCTGACTCTTCCATCAAAATCAAACAATCACTGCAAAACCATTTCACTTGCACTCAAAATCAAACGGTGCTCTCAGATCACACACACGAGTCAATAAAATAAACACTACAGAGTATTCATTAGACACTACAGAGAAAAATGGAGAACAGCATCCAGAACATTACAGAAAAAAGTATATTGTATTGAGTAAACAATTTTGCAATTCTGTAAAAAAAGTATAGTAATTGCAACTGAGTAAGGTGAATATATTGTATAGGCATACTGAAGAACAGTATTGTGCTGAATATTTAATAGTACTGAATGTTTGTATATATTCAGCACTCGGATACTGCAAAGATACTGCAATCCAACTGCAAAGGCCAAAAAGGTCAAATAAAACTCTAAATACTGCAAAGGCCAAAAAGGTAAAATAAAACTCTAAATGAATAGCATGTTATAGTACACTCAAATACTGTGAGTTGTGCAATTTTAAAATCAGGGTCAATGAGAGATTCATTCTGTCTCAGCATCATGTTAAACCTTACTCTTCCTCCTCTCCTTCTCAGATTGTTTCTATCTATTGTTCGTATCATCATTCAGTCACCTGTGCCGCTTGTGCACTCTGAACTGGCTCATATTTTGTACAGTTGGTTTGATCACATCATTAGAAACAAGTGTGAACAATTTTGAATCGTTGTGTGTAAACGATGACAACTGTGCTTTAGTTGTGTTTAACTTTTGCCCGCTTGTGTTTAGCATTTTGCTGCACAAATGCATCACAGTGTGATAAGTGTTTAAGTGAATGAGAATGTCTTTAGAGTTTTGCAAAAAGAGTGCATGAGATTTGCAAATAGAGCCTAACTGCCTGAATGTGTTTAAGGTTTAGCAGAAAGAGTGCTTTATTCGACAAATTGGTTTAAGCTAGTGAGAATTTGGTTCAGAGATTGGGGTTTAGTGTTTTAGCAATTCAGAAAACTTTTTTTGGCAACTCTAAAGCCTTAATAATGCTTCATAGCATTGTTCCATCATCTGTTTCTGAGGCAGGAGAAGTAGTCATGGAGCTGAGGTAGTTACAGTAGAAGCGAGTGCTGTATAATCAGATGCAGAACTGAAGAGCTTCTCTATTTCCTGTCAGCGGCGCACCACACTCATTCTGACAAGAGCATCCGAGACAGAGCTGGGTTACGGCTCTTCAAAGTAAGAAGAGACGGCATCAAAACATGTTAGAGTGAGGCTGAGAGGCTTACCTCAGTTAATTATGCTTCAACTCTGCAATGAGTTCACTGCATTCAAACAAAATGTACTGTCTACCATATCTGCAACATCTAAATAAATAAAGCATAAAAAAAATAAAGCTAAATAAAAATAGTTTGTTACATATAGTAATCACATATACGCAAGGTTTCCAAGGTGAATACCGTACATCATGCAGATTAAAAAAACCCTTGACAAATATACTATAGGGTGTGTCTTTTCCTGTAGCTCAAGATTGTTAAGTGAATATTTTATGCTTCTGTAGCGTTAACTGAGCTGATGAATAATGCATTAGGTAGATTAGGTGAGAGAAGCATTGTTAGCGCACAAGTTTTTCCATAAACACATTAGTTCTATTCTTAGATGACTATGATAATAGTGATTAAAGGCTTGACGCACTAGTAATCGGTACATATTACAAAGCTGTACTGAAGTTAATGCTATTACTAATTGGTGCACACAGATGTCACAATCTTTCTCATAAATCATTATATGTCTGACAAAGTATAGATGCTGTCTCAAATAACTAGCACAGATCATGTCATTCTAGCCAGCAACAACACAAAGGCAATTTACAGAGCTTGCATTTCCATGAGACGCACACATCAATATGGCGATCAATGTCTGCCGGTCATCTTGTTGGTGGATGTGTTTCATTAATGACCAAGCTGCCACATGTAATATCATTAGTGCATGATTTCATCCTGTAAATTGGAGTATGATTGAAGTGCCAATTCATCAGTAAGTTTGCTTCCTAAGCTTCAAATGCTGGCAAATTTACATGTCTCTCATATAGATATCCTCATTCTAATAAGATAAGGCCACTGCTTACATAATGCATAGCGAGACACGGAAGAGGATAAGAATCTTTTCAATGAAATGTATATGCATTGAAGCTCTGTGTGATGTAACCCTGTCGTTAGTTGATTTTTGCCTTGAGAAGCAGAGGGAAATGAAGCAAGATAATAATTGCCTTTCAGACTGATGAATCAACGCCCTGCAGCTCCTCACAAGGATTTTTTTTCACCTCTTCCTGAATTAGATAAGTCACATGAACATGATACCGCTGCTCTGAAAGATAAAGCCGGTAGTTACGGACATACTGTCAACAGAAGTCAGTACTGCCCTCAGAAACATTGTGTCAGAAATCATGCAAACTGGATGAGCATTGGAAACGTGCCAATCTCCTGCTCAAAAGCAGGCTGACAGTATATCACAGAGTGATACATAAATTATTTTGATTATACATACTTAATAAAACTTGTGGTACAAGTAAATACCTTTTTATTTCAGTAACATAAAAAGTACTACAATGACTTTTGGACACAGTATCATGTAAATACCACGATGCATGAATATGGTTATCAGTAAGTATAGATGATGTGTCCTCAGCATCAAAATTATATAAAAATGTATACAGTTTAATAAGTGAACCTATTTTACTACTGTTCAAATGTTTCAGAGTCAGTAAGATTTTTTTTAAGTGAAGTAGTCTCTTATTCTCACCAATGCTGCATTTATTTAATAAAAAATATAGTAAAAACATAAATATCAAT